GGGCATTTAACAAATACTAACTTCAGATGAAAGTTAGCATCTTTAGTGTATTGTCATTGTAGTCATTAGAAATATTCTCAGTTGAGAGTGAACCTGGTTGTTGGACAGGATCATTTTATTGTAAGTTCAGCTTTCTTCAGAGACACTTAACAGCTCTGAAAGGAGCCTTTTAATTCAGATTTTTACATTTCCAACTTCTTAATTCCTGGTTCCTGGTTCCTTCACTGATTGTTTCCTGTTTTTTTTTTGTTTTCTCGACCATCTTTACCCTTTCTCTGGGTCTCTATCATAGCCATTTTAAGTCTTTTAAAACCCTCCTGATACCAAACCTGATCTGGGATTGAGCTTCTCTGCTTCAGCCCCACTACTGTCTAAAAGCTTCCTTTTATTTGAGCCAAGAACATCCCCCTTGAGATGACTGCGATCTGCCACAACCTTGTTGCTGATTCACAACAAATGCCAAGAGTCACCAGCATCATCAGCACGTGCTCAGAAGGTGGCAGCCATCTTTGTTGGCCATCTTGGCATTTGAAATGTACACTCCATTTGATTAACTCCTTGTAGTTGTTGACACACCTCTTGCTAGAACGTTCCTGAGGTTTGAACTTCTTCACTAAGTCTGTCAAGTTCATCTAGATTTTCTCTATGCATCATTGTCAATGTACATTGTGTACAATTGGCTCCAGACCCTGCATGTTCCATCCTGCCTGAAGCTTCAATGTTTCTGACCCTGTGAAATGTATTTTTGCACACATTTGAAGAGCTTAGTCGAAGATTATAATCTGGGTGTTGTGGATACAGTGCTACATGTCTAATTATTTGAAGCATTGTTTGCTTTCATTGGTTATTCAACTAGCATCAGATTTTGTTCCTGCGTCCAACCTTCTAAACAGGGCAGAATTTCTTCAACTAACTGTGGCTATAGTTGCTGACTTTCCTTGGTTGACTCTGTGAAACTCCTCCTCCCATTTACTTTCTTCAGCAAAGGAATGCCCCACTGTGTCCCCTACTGTTGGGATATGTACAGAAAGCTATGGTCTGTATTTAATGTTCAGTACTGAGGTTATGACATGGTCTGTGACCCTCTGAGATATTGATTGGCTTGAGCTCCAGCCCATGGGATGCCAGAATGATGTTGACCACACTCTGCTTTTTCTGAGTGCTCATTCCTTGCTCATCTCTGCACTTCCACTAGCCCCAAGTTCCCTAGGACTGGTCACCACTGCCCCTATGTAGCAACGTGAGGTCAACACACCTATGTCTGAGCATTAACTCTCTTAGTTAGCCACAACTATTTACAAGGTGTGGTAAGAGAGGACATCTTACTGGAAGTTCTTACAGCTAAAGGGGTCAAAGGGTCGAGGGAGAAAGTGGAAACAGGCCACAGAGTTGGATGATCAACTATGATCATGTTGAATGGTGGAGCAGGCTCGTGTGGACAAATGGTCTGCTCCTATTTTCTATGGTTCTATGAAGCTAACAGACTCGCGATTCAGTTCCACGTGCTCTGATTTCACTGTGACATCTCTTCTTGCAAACATGCTCTGTAGTTATTCCTTGGCTCTAGGTTTTAACCCTTTCCTCTCCAGAGCCAACTCTGCAGGGATTGGCAAAGAGATAAGAAAATTAGGGAATTGAATATGTGGCTAAAGCATAAGTGTGGGAAAGATGGATTCCATTTTGTGGGGCACTGGTGTCAGCATTGGGGCAGGAACTATACAAAGTATAAAGAACGGTTCAACACAGGAATAGGCCATTTGGGCCACAAAAACTGCGCCAAAACATGTAATGCCTTTAGAAACTTAAAACCTTTTACATCTATACTGTCCATATCCCTCTATTCCCTGTCTATTCATGTATCTGTCAAGATGCCTCTCAAACATTGCTATTGTACCCGCCTCCATCATCTCTTGTGGTACATTCCAGGCACTTACCACCCTCTCTGTAAAAACCTGCCCCTAGTACCATTGGAACAGGCTCCACCTGAACTTATCTTGGACCAATGTCCTTGAGAGAAGGCCAAACAGAGTGGTAAACTTTAAACCAGTAAATGGAGGGGGTGGGCTTGGAGAAAGTTAATACATTTTCAAAATCAAGTGATGTGACCGAGACTAAAGAAACAGTCAGGAATCCTATTTCGGATATGGCAGGGAATGGCCAAACCCTAAGTTATAAAACTATTGGTGAGGCCACAGATGGAATACTGTGAGCAGTTCTTAATTGCCACACTATCAAAAGTATGTCATTGCACTGGAGAGGAGGCAGAGGAGATTCACTAGGATGTCACCTGGGATGAAAAATCTGTTATGAAGAGAGACTGGATAGACTGGGTTTATTTTCCCCAGGGCAGAGGAGGCTGAGGGGGGAATCTGATTGAGGTATACAAAATTATGAGAGACATAGACAGAGTAAATCATAAGAATCTCTTATCCTATGGCAGACATGTGACCAGAGGGTGCAAGTTTAAAGTGAGGAGTAAGTTGTTTACAGGCAGTCTGAGAAAATTTCTTTTTCACCGAGAAGGGGTAGAAATACAGGACATGCTGTCTGAGGGGGTGGTGGAGGCAGGTACTCTCATAATATTTGAGAAGCATATGGATGAGCATTTAAAATGCAAGGGCATAATAAGCAATGGATCAAGTCTAGATAAATGGGATTAGTGTAGTTTGATGTTGTCGGTTGGCAAACACACAGTGGGCTGAAGGGCCTGTTTCTATGCTGTAAACTCTATCACTCTATGGCCTCTCATGTTTGTAGCTGTTCACCATTTAGAAAGAATCCTGTTCTCTTCTTTTTACATTCAATGTTCCTGCTCCCACGCTTGCCACTATTCAGCATAGTCACTACCTCTTTGGAACACTGCAAGTTACAAACGTGGGACAGTGTGAGAGCCTGTCTTAGTAGTCTTGAGGACTGAACTCCCACCCCCTCATCCACCTGTCAGGGGTTTCAGCCAACCGAATGCCAATAGGAAGCAACCAACAGTCAGTCATAATCACAACTGCAGCTTGGGTGCAATCTTTCAAATGATGAGGACTGATTTGGAACAAAATCAGTGAGGTTCAGTTCACAAACAGCTTGTATCCTCAGTCACTTCACAGGAAACATTATCAAAGACAAACTGACATCGAGCTGCCTAAGGAAATAGTAAAACAGTAAAGAGGTAGGTTTTATAAAGAGCATCTTTTAAGGAAGTAGCGAGGTTGACAGAGGTTCCTAGAGTTTGGGGCCCAGGCATCTGAAGGCACAACCACCAAAAGCAGAACAAGGAAAATGGAGAATGTACAAGAGGCCAGAATTAGAAATTAGCAGTGATCTCAGAGCATCATGGGCCTGGAGGAGTTCCCTAAGATAGGGAAGGGTGGGGCCTGGGGGCATTTGAAAGGAAGAACTCGAATTTTAGAATTGGTGAGCTGAGAGGCAATCTGGTTAGTGAGTAGGGGCTAATGGATGAATGGGGCACAGTATGATTTGGGACACAGTGAGCAGTATTCTGAATGAGCTGAATTTACACAGTGACCAGTATTCTGATTGAGCTGAAGTTTAAGGAGGGTGTTTACAAGAATAGTTCCAAGAATGAGAAACTTCAGTGATGAGGATAGATTGAAGAATTTGGAGAGAATAAAGCTAAGAGGAGATCGGATTGAGATTTTCAAAATCATCAGCAGACTGGATAGAGTAGGCAGGGAGAAACTGTCACACTCTCAAAAGGAACAAGAATGAGAGGACATAGATGGAAAGTGATGTGCAAAAGAAGCAAGGGTGATGTAAGAAAATGACATTTCTCAGAAAACATTTTCACACAGCGATAGTTAGGGTCTGGAATACATTGCCTGGAAATGTGGTGGAGGCAAATTCAATCAAGGCGTTCAAAAGGGCATTGGATGTTTACTTGGACAGAAATAATGTACAGGTAGTTCTCCTATAACATGATAATTGCATTCTTGTGTGACCTTGTGCTATAGAAAATCGCCGTAGAAAGTTGCATTATAGGGAAATTGCTATACCTGTAACAGCAGAAAGTTTGTGTTATCCAAACAGCGTCCACTATTTATCAATCACATTACAGCCAATTCACATTAACAAAACACGAGTTATAGTAGAATGACCCGTACAGGGATTTGGGGAAAAGGCAGGAGATTGGCACAGGATGAAGATGATTTGACGAACTGATAGAGACATGATGGGACAAATGACGTATTTCTTCAGCATAACAATTCTGCGATTCTGTACATGGTGGGGAGGCAGCCTCTGGCCACTGGAAAAATTGAGTGTAGATGCGAGGAAAGCAGAGGTGAAAGTTTCAGGACCTGCTGAGCAAAGGCAGGGACAGGTTAAATATCATTTTTTCATGCAATGCTGCTTTGTCTCACCATACAGGTGAGAGATACATATTAAATTAAATGTTTTATATTATATCTAATATTATAATGAACACAACAATGAACGTATAAAATTTACAGGCACAGCACAGCAGGAGGTGGTTTTGAGGTGTCTATTGACAAGATGGAACACTAAAGCCTCAATCTATTCGAATCAGATTTGATCTCCTAACTGTGAGAATGTTATTGGCCATGTGAATATTTCCTTATCAAACTCACAGTGGCATCAGGAAAGCCTTCAGAAATTCCTGAGGGAGTGCCGCACTGTCGGGGGGCCAGCGCTGAGGGAGCGCCGCACCGTCAGAGGGTCAGTGCTGAGGGAATTTGCTCTTCCAACACTGCATTGTTGGTATTGACAAACTTCAGCGAGTGCATTAAGGGCAGGGTTAGTGCTTGGGGAAGTCACCTGAGTGGGGGCTTCAAGGGCTGGTCACTGGGGCAAGGGGTGCAATATTTGGCAAGTCAGTGACGGGCTGGGGTGTGTCTAGACTGGTGAGGCTACAGGAGCTGATGGAAATGTCTTGTCTGGGTTCCTGTTTGGTTTGTTGTCTAGCGTTTACAATGGCAGCGTGCTGGGTGTCTGAGTGTGAGCAGGTTGGTGCAGCGTTCCAGTGACAGTAATGCTCTGTGTTGTTTTCAGGATGGATGATACGTACAGTCTGGGAACGCGAGATGTAAGTACAGCCCTGTGTTTGAAATGAATTCAGCTCTGCCTCTTCAGCCAGTACATTGCTGACTCTGATCACTATCTTCATTCTCAGGGTGGCAATGATTTTGGACAACTGGACCTCAACCTACTGAACACTGAGGCTGCACTCAGCTCATGTAAGTGGGTATGGGGGTGGGGGTGGGGTGGGGTGGGGTGTGGTGTGGTGGAGGCAGTGAGGAAGCGGTGAGCTGTGTGTCCAAATTCCAAAATGAGCCTCAGTCCAGCATCTGTACCAGGGTGGAATCTATACCAGCCAGTACAATGTTCTAGAAGCCTAGGCCTGTGTTCAGTGTATGGTGGGCATGGGAGGTGTAAACTGGGGGTAGTGATTATAGCAGTCACTTTTTGGGTGTGGGGGTATTTGGGTGTATGTTCAGTGTTGGGGGGTGTATTTTCAGTGTATAGGTGGGGGTCTGTATTTTGAATGTGGCGGGGTCCTGGACTCTGGGTGTAGAGGGCGGGGTCTGTATTTTGAGTTGGTGTAGGGCATGAGGTCTGCATTCTGTGAGGGCTGGTGAAATAACTCCACAGAGGCCGGTATCCCATCAACACATCACTCTTTATTTATACGTGGAGAGTCCTTTACACTGCTCCAGCTATGTCAGAACCAGTTCTCAGTGAACAGAACCACTGACACTCCTTAACTGTCAGCTAGGACTCTCTGATTGGAGCTATCAATTTAGTCCAATCAGGGAACTCGTATTCTATGAGATCCAACCGGCTGACCTTGTTATAATCACTGTAGCAGGATGTGGATTAGGAAGCTTTGAAGGGGGTGGGATGTAGTGTGGAAGATCGGGTGGTCACAGACTTTGTAAATCAGTGATACTGATTGACTGGGGTTTGGGGAATTGAGGGGATTAGGAGCAAGCCCAAGAGTGAAAGCCTTGATGAAGCAGTGACTCCTCTTGTCTTCCAGATCCAGCAGCCGGCCCCTTCCTGACCATCGTAGAACAACCGAAACAGGTAAATCCAACCCTTCCTAACACAGAAAATCATCCTATTCCCTCAGGATCTTTTGCTCATTTCAATCTGTATCCTCTGGTTATGGGCTGTTATGCACAATGGTTTCTCCCTGTCAACTCGATCAAAAACTTTGAATAATTTGAAAACCTCTCTTAAATCAACCCCCCCAGCCCACACCTAAACAAACTTCTGTGCGTAGTAGGGAACCACTGCAGCTCCTCAAATCTCTCTGAGGTTCCTCATCCATGGTACTTTCCTCATAAATGGGGAGGCGATGGTCTAGTGGTATTGTCACTGGGCTGTTAATCCAGAGACCTAGATACCTGTTCTGGGGACCCAGGTTTGAATCCTGCCACAGCAAATGGTGGAATTTGAGTTCAATTAATTACAATCTAATGATGACCAAGAACCTATTGTCGATTGTTGGAAAAACCCATCTGGTTCACTAATGTCCTTTAGGGAAGGAAACTGCCATCCTTACCTGGTCTGGTCTACATGTGACTCCAGATCCAAAGCAATGTGGTTTACTCTGAGCTGCCCTCTGGGCAATCAGGGATAGGCAATAAATGCTGCCTTGCCAGTGATGCCCTCATCCCGTGAATGAATAAAAAAAAGTAAATAAATCTCCTCTGCACCCTCTCCAAGTTCTTGGCCTGCAGAATTGGCTGTAATATTCTAGCTGGGGCTGACCTGGTGAATTCTAATGGTTCAGCATCACTTCCTAGCTTTTGGACACTCTGCATATATGTATAAAAATATTTGCTCTTGACCAGTCTTGTCAACTTGTTCTGGAACCTTCAGTAATTGGTGTGCACCTATCCCCAAGTTTCTCTCTTCCTGCTCCCTCTTCAAACTGTGCCACTTCTTTTTACAGCCTTTCCCTGTTCTTCTGACCAAAAATATCTCACTTCACACTTCTCTGCAAGAAATTTAACGCCTGCCCATTTCACCAAGCTGTCCCTGTCCTAACGTCTATTACCGCCCTCCTCACTGTCTCTCTGCATTTCTATGTTTCACTTTCTGAAGAAGGGTCGCTGGAGCCGAAACATTAACTTTGCTTTCTCTCTACTGATGCTGCCAAATCTGCCAAGTTTTTCCAGTAATTTGTGTTTTTGTTTCCAAGCGTCATGTCATTGGTGAACTTTGATAGTCTGCTCTGTGTGACAATGTGCCATGTGTTTGATGCAGAGGGGATTCCGATTCCGTTATGGCTGTGAAGGCCCTTCACACGGAGGCCTGCCTGGAGCATCCAGTGAAAAAAATCGCAAGACGTACCCAACCATAAAGGTCAGAACATGAGGGGGCATTGAGAAGATAGAAGTCAGAGCATGAGGGGAGCTTTTACAGCAGGCAAAGGTCATAGTGTGAGGATTGTTTAGAGGGAGCTAAGGTCAGAGAGTACGTAAGGCATGTTTGGAGAGTGTGTGAGAATCATTTAGAGGGGGCAAAGGTCACTGTGTGAGGAGCATTGAGGGGAGGGCATGGGTTAGAGCAATGTCTTTTAACTGATTTATATGTTTAATTTTCCCTTAGATTTTCAATTACACTGGTAATGCAAAGATTGTAGTGCAGCTAGTGACAGCCAAAGACCCTCCCAAACTACATGCTCACAGCCTGGTTGGGAAACAATGCACCGATGATGGAGTCTGTATCGTACAAGTGGGTCCCAAGGACATGACTGCACAGTAAGTTCACACGCACTGAGACTCATTCCATCACAACCTGCATTCTGCAGATGAAATGCACTAAGACCCAGCGTAACAGGTCACTTCAGCTTTCATAGTTGGACAAGGATGAAATAAATCCAGAAAGGAAGAACTCGAATTTATATAACACCATTCAAGATTTATGGACCAAGGTGTTTCACAAATTCTTTTGAAGTATAGTCACCACAGTAACATAATCCAAACATTAAGAATCCTCTGAGAGTTCTTGTCACCTTGATTTTAATTGCCGTATTTTGACATTTTCCCCTGGTTCTAGATTTAAGCAGTATTTATTTACTCACTTGCATTGCCATATCCTCCAGGGCTAGAGGCCCAAAGCTGAAATATGGGATTAGTGTAGTCTGATCTTTGGCCAACACAGACAGGATGGGTCAAATGCTCTCCTGTGCTGTGAATGTCTATATGTCTACATAGAATGTAACTCAGATTGCTCTGCACCTCAGCTGTCTGAAGTCTCTCTCCACTTAAACAACATTCCACTTTTCTTTTCTTCCTACCCAAGTGGAAAGTCTTGCATTTTCCCCGCATTATACTCTATCAACCAAATTTCTGTTCACTCACTTAAGCTGCCTATATTTCTCTGCAGATCCTTTTTGTCCTCCTTGCATCTTCCTATCCATCTAACATTTGTGGCTTTTTAACAAATTTGACTACATTAAACTTTAAAGAGTGTTTGGAGAATGTAGCAAGGAGGAAAGCAGAAAGCAGAACCCATAGATGTGTATAGTTCAGGAGACTAATCCTCTGTATCCTCGTTCTCTAGGTTTACTAATCTGGGCATTCTGCACGTCACAAAGAAGAATGTTCCGGATGTTCTGTTTGACAGGTTATTTAACGAGACATACCAGCGCAATCCTTTGGACAGAAAAAATTTTCTGAACAAGGCCATTCTGTCAGGTGAGGATGGCTGCTGTGGGAACATAGAGAACCCATTTTGACATAACCGCAGGGATTGTTTGGAGCTCTGCTTTCTGTAGCTGCCCTTTTATTTGTGAGGATCTTTGCAGTAGACTCTGAGAATAAAAGCAACAAATAAGGCAAGAAGAAGTGCACTGGGAAAATGTGAGCATGGTGCTACCATTTGAACATTGACTTCTATGGAGCTGAGTTGATGAGGTACGGAGGAGAGTCAGGAGCATTCGGGAGATGGTCAGTCCCAGTGATTGTGGAGCACTCGAGAGGCTGGTGCAGCAAGCCCATGGTTCGTAGGCAGACATATTCTTACTCTGTGTGCCGAGACAGATATAGACAGGAGGGCTCTTGTGCTGTGGTAGTGTCTCTACCTCTAAGCCAGAAGGCCTGGCTTTATGTCCCACCTGTTCCAGAGGTGTACATAAGAACATAAGAACCAGGAGCAGGAGTAGGCCATCTGGCCCTTCGAGCTCACTCCGCCATTCAATAAGATCATGACTGATCTTTTCATAGACTCAGTTCGACCTACCCATCCTCTCACCATAACCCTTAATTCCTTTACTTTTCAAAAAATTATCTATCTTAGCTTTAAAAACATTCAATGAGGAAGCCTCAACTACTTCACTGGGCAGGGAATTCCACAGGTTCATAACCCTATGGGTGAAGAAGTTCCTCCTTAATTCAGTCCTAAATCTGCTCCCACTAATTTTGAGGCTATGTCCTCTTGTTCTAGTTTCACCTGCCTGTGGAAACAACTTCCCCGCTTCTATCTTACCTATTCCCTTCATAATTTTATGTGTTTCTATAATATCGCCCCTCATTCTTTTAAATTCCAATGAATATAATCCCAGTCTGCTCAGTCTCTCCTCATAAGTCAACCCTCTCAACTCTGGAATCAACCTAGTGAATCTCCTCTGCACCCCCTCCAGTGCCAGTACATCCTTTCTCAAGTAAGGAGACCAAAACTGCACACAGTACTCCAGGTGTGGCCTCACCAGCACCCTATACAGCTGCAACATAAGCTCCCTCTTTTTAAACTCCATCCGTCCAGCAATGAAGGACAAAGTTCCATTTGCCTTCTTAATTACCTGTTGTACCTGCAAACCAACCTTCTGAGCTTCATGCACAAGGACACCCAGGTCCCTCTGCACAATTTTTTACCTATTTTTTGCTATTATTCCTACCAAAATGGATGACTTCACATTTATCAACATTGTACTCCATCTGCCAGACCTTTGACCACTCACTTAGACTATCTATATCCCTCTGCAGACTTTCAGAGCCCTCTGCACACTTTGATCTACCACTCATCTTCGTGTCATCTGCAAACATTGACACACTATATGTGGTCCCCAACTGCAGATCATCGATGTAAATGGTAAACAATTGCAGTTCCAACACTAATCCCTCAGGCACACCACTAGTCACTAATCGTCAACAGAAAAGCACCTATTTATCCCCACTCTTTGCTTCCTGATAACCAATCCTCTATTCACGCTAATACAGTGCCTGTAACACTGAGCACCTTTTGTCTTATGCAGTGGCCTTTTGTGTGGCACCTTGTCGAATGCCTTTTTGAAATAATAATAATGATATAATAATGATATTTTTGAGCAGGTTGATGAGAAAATGTTATAAACAGACAGGATCTGTCTGAGGTCTGTTGACTTTAGAACCAGAGGACGTAGCATATGAACCAGGCCATAGAAAATCAAGATGAGGAAGAATTTCTTTGCGCACATTGTGGTGAATTTTTGCAATTCTCTATCCCACAGGGATGTGGAAGCTCAATTATTGAGCAGGCTCAAGACAGGAATCAATAGGTTTCTGGAGTCAAATGATATCATGGGATTTGCAGATAGCACGAGGAGATGATCAACCCTCATCCAGAATGGTGGGGTAGGCTTGATGGGCTGAATAGCCTACACCTATTCCTATGTTCCAAATCAGTTATATTCAACAGCACAAAAGAAGGCGCTTTATGTCTAACCGGTGTTTGTAATGTCCACAAGTTAATCATTTCAATCACATTTGAAACACACTTAGTTCCCATCTTCTAACCAATCTGGTTTTACTTCAGCCACTGTCCAATCTAACGTTGCACATTGACCTGGCTCCTGCAATGCATTGGTCATGAGCAGAAAGCTCCAGGAATTTGAAAGCCTCAGTTTGAGACACCGTGAGATGAGGTTTGGCATCTTGGTGAAGTTCTTTGTGCAGGGCAGGTCTCCAGGAGAAAGAGACCTGGGAACAGCCATGTAAAACCCAAGTTCTGGACTGGGTCTGCTGCATGATCAGGAACTTGGAAGATTGGAACATGGGAGGAGCTGCCAGAAGGGCTGAACGGCCTCTGTCTTGGGTATTTAGCATCCTCATCCTGACAGCCGTTAATAAACTGCTGACATTTACAATCTCACAAAACAAGCAATTGGCCTACAGGCCTGATGGGGCTTAACAGGGTGGATTCTGAGAGAAAGAGCCCCTCCAATCCCCCCCCCCCCCCCCCCCCGCCATCCCCCAAAGTTCGAGAAGTGGGGACTAGAGGACATGGTTTAAATATGAGAGGTCTCCCATTTAAGACAGAAATGAGGAGAATGTTTTTCTATCAAAGGAACGTTAGTCTGTGCAATTCACTTTTGATCCATAAGGGAGTCACTAGTAATGGGCGCGGACCATAACCAGATCAACCATGATCTTATTGAACAGATCAGCAGTCTTGAGAGGCCAAAGGGCCTACTCCTGCTCCTAAATCCTATGTTCCTATACATGAACAGAATGGAACACAAGTTTCTGCCAATCAGACACACCAAGCCACTAAAAAATTGACATTGTAATTGTTAATTTGGCAGGTACTGATGAATGAAGATAGATTCTCACAGGAATTAGGATTAATTTCCTGGAAACTGTTTTTATTCTCGATTGTATTATGACTGGAAAGACAGTGCATCAGTTACTGTGGGGCAGCAGGGTTACACAGCCCTGATACGGAGAGTTTCATGTACGGTTATGTGAGGGTATTAATAACCAACAAGGACTCTCTTCAAAACCAGCTCAAGAAGCACAGCAGTTTCGCCAAGAGTCTGAGCAATTAGCCAAGGAGATGGATCTGAGCGTTGTGAGGCTACAGTTCACAGCTTACCTCCCTGACAGTGATGGCATGTATACACGGCCACTTGAACCTGTCATCTCTGACCCCATCTTTGACAGCAGTAAGTAACGGGACAGTGTGTGGGGGTGACGCTGCGTGTTGTATATGTGTAGGGGGGACAACAGTGTGTGGAGGGGTTTAACAATGCGTGGGGGTATGGGGGAGCAACAGTGTGACCAGTAAGGTCAGTCCTGTTCAAGTCAGAAAACACTGCTCGGTCTAACAGTTAAAATGTGTGCAGCCTGAAGGAATGTGTGTTTGTCCATAATGTTTCAATTTTACTTCAATCACAAAGTTATTTCATACATGAGGAGGGTGTTTGTCCCAAGAGCTGCTGTGAACTGATGCAGAGAGAGCTCTGGAAGATTCACAATCAATTAGCGCAGTGTTTACAATGGCTGGGAAAGGCTTTGTTGGCCACTGGATGATTCCAGGTCAATGGGTCACACTTGGGTGGAGTGTGGGGAGGGGAGGGGTCAGGTGACCAACAATCTGCCCCTGGATTGTGGGGCAACCAGTGAGTTGCCTATTTTCACACAGGGCAAGGCTTCATTGGCAGGGCCACACTGTCCATTGGAATGGACGTGAGAGTAAACCAAGGGTTAGCTTTAGGGGTCCTTCACTTTTCTATCAGATCCCACAAGTGCCTGGGAGCCTGCGTTGAACACAAGTCCTTGCTGTTGAGCCATTCCACGCTGGGGACTGGAAGGGGGTCACCCACCCAGATTGACCCTTTGGGGGCGAACTCTGGGGGCATTTCCCATCAGGCAGCTGGGGATTGATGAGCAGGAAAAGTCTGCGATTAATGAGTGATGGCTGGTCACCGCGACTGAACACTGCTCCACCTGGACCGACATGAATGGCCTACCATCACTGTACCGTCAGGGGACCCCTGAGGCCAGTGTAAAGAGTGGCTGCTAACCTGGCCTCCATGCCCAAGACTCTGTAAATCACCAGAGCCCAGTTCGTCAGCGTGCTCGCCAGTGGGAGTATGTCTGACCATTAAGCTATAAAGATGACTCCTTTTTAAAAAAAGTTCACTGCTGATTGGAAAGTGAAATGATTGGTCTTTTTTTTTAAGAAAATCTTTAAATCAGCATCTGTTATTGTGACAGTTACTGACATTTCATTGTAACTGTACAAAGAAATCTCACTAAGAATTTTATAACAGAGAATAGACATTGCAGGGAAAATGAGGAGAGAGCGAGAGACAGGGAATGAGGTGATGGAAGGGGAATGGGGAGAAGGGTGAATGAGGAGAGCGGAAGAGAGAGGAATAAGGAGAGGGAGACAGAATTAGAGGGACAAGAGAATAGAGAGAGACAGAGGAATGAGGGCAGAGAGGGGGTCGAATGAGAGAAAGAGGGAGGAATGAGGTAAGACAGAGGCAGTAATGAAGTGAGAGAAGTGGGGAGAGGGGAAAATAAGAAGAGAGAGATGGGATCAGAGAATTAGAAAAGAGAGAAGGGTATGGGGGGGGAGAAAGAGAAAGGAATGGGTGAATCCGGAGAGGGAGAAAGGGAGGGAATGAGGAAAGAGGGAGGCAGTTTGAGGATTGGAGGTGGATTAAGGAGGGGGAGGGGAGGGTGACAGGCCTGTTGGAGGGTAGAAGCAGTGTAGAGACTCTACGTGCTCAGTCACCGGGGAGATGGTAAGGCTGTTTTGTCTGCAGGATGCAGGGGGATATACATCTGGATAGTTAGCAACCTCGGCTTGGAAAGGCCTTGGAGAGATCTGAAGGCTGTGAGAAAGGTTCCTGCAGCAAGTATACAGGGCTGTAGTGGCCCAGTGCAGCTCATTGAGAGTAGCTGCTTGGTTAAAGGCCTCAGGTGATCCATTTCAGACAAGTCAGAGTTTGTTTCTGATTAAGGAGAAGGGTTGGATGTGAGTTGAGAATTTGATGGATTGTGGAAAGGGGATTTGGCAGGAGAGATAGAGAGAATGTGCATGATGTGGCTGAGGGGAAAACAAGCAGCTTGGTAGAGGGCTGGATGTAACAGTGGAAAAGCTGAGGCTGAGACATGTTGTAAATACAGACCTTGGGCTAAGGCGACAGTCAAGGGTTTGTGTGAGACAGGCAAAAAGAAACCTGAAAACTTTCACATGAACATCTGAAAATATTTCAATCGGCAGCAGCTGCCTCTGAAAGCAGAGTATATTTGAGTCATTGAGAAATCCCAGCAAAATCCATTGAGTTTCCAGATGAGCTCAGCAGCCAGAGTCTATGAGACAGTATTAGTCAGTGGGAAAAGTGGAGGCTTTAGAAAATTGTTCAATAGACACATGGCTGAATATCTTGGTAAGAACAAGTCCTAGATTGACGACTATCAAAGTCTAAAGATTAGTCAATTAGACAACACAGGGTCTTGTGTTGGGGTGTCAGCCTGGAGCAGAGACAGACTGGGGATGAGCCAGCCTTGGTTGGAGGGGTTGAGGGCAGAGGACTCTGAAGAGACATAGCTCAGTTGGTTCTGGAAGATCCTAGTGCTGACATAAAGGAAGTTACTCTGCTCAGGTCTTCCCCGTAGAGACAATGGTATAGTGGTAAAGTCTAGTAATCCAGAACCTCGGGCTGATGAAAACTGAAAGAACTCAGAAAATCAGAAACAAAAGCAGAAGTTTCAGGAAAAGCTCAGCAGATTTGGCAGCATTTGTGGAAAGAAATCAGAGTTAACATTTCAGATTCAGTGACCCTTCCTCAGAATGTCAGGCTAATGATCTGGGGGTATGGGTTCAAATTCAGTAGAAAAAAAAATCTGGAACTAAAAGGTCGTCTAATGGTGACCATATAAACAATGTTGATTTTGCAACCTGCTTTATGTAAAGGTCTTAAAGGCCGCAATTTTATAGTAGGGAACAGGATATGATTTCAGTTGATGGGAGATGCAGGTGGTGTAAAGAGACAGAAGAATCTGAAAGCAATCTCTGATTGAGATAATAGACTTTTTCTTGGGGCGTCCCATTGTGATAGTAGACAGACGTGTAGAGAGCTATGAGGATCTTACATGGAGAGAGAGTGAGATTGAAATGATTAAAGGCAGTTAGATATGAAAGCCTAGGTTCAACGTGGTGTTGATAGTGAGGACTGGGAAACATGGTGAGTGGTGCTTCAAGCTCCTGTGCTGAAATCAGTGGGTAACATGCTTTGGGTAGGTCCCATGAGCTGGTCCATTTGCAGGTCCCTTGTGGAGGGTGGAGGTGACTAGTGGACGTCAGTCATTTTGTAGACTGACTACTCATGAGCTGATGTCTCAGAGCTACAGCCAAAGATAGCAAAAGTTCATGAGCCAGTACGTGTCTGGGCATTTTGTGACTAATAACAAACAGAGTATGGGAAGACTGTCCAGTGGACTTCCCCTGGTGTTTCCTGCGCATTCAATTAAAATAGCAAAGACTCGAGAACGGGAAATTCCCTGCAGTTATTTCTGCACTATTTTATTTGAGTTTACAGACAGGACGTGATAGATGTCTTTTATTACTATTCTCACTCTGACACTTCTCACTGCTGACAGCAGATAGTAACTGATGAAAGTGATCAGGGAGTGCAAGGATAGAGTCAGAACTTCCAGCCCTGCATTGCACCAGGCCCGTTTTTATGAAAATGAATGATTCCCTGTGTTAGGGATCATGCAGCAGATTTTCATCCATCTGGTTTGTTGAGTTTAAATCTGTCAAAACGTTTCCAGCAGCAAAATATAGTGGCTGCTGGAAATCGTAAATAAAAACAACAAATGCTGCAAAGACTCAGCAGGTCGGGTAACATCTGTGGAGAGTTAGCGTTTCAGGTTGATGACATTTCATCAGGTTTTTATTTCTCATGGTTTTCCAGATGTGTGTGAAGCTTGCTTTGCCCATTTTTCACTTAATTTTAAGCGTGCTGTTTTTTCCAATCTTGTATACTTGACAGAGGCTCCAAATGCTTCCAATCTGAAGATTGTCAGGATGGACAAAACGTCAGGCTGTGTGACAGGCGGGGATGAGATTTACCTCTTGTGTGACAAGGTTCAGAAAGGTAAGGTTTTTCAGGTCGAAGGACAATAGGCATTAGCCCATTTGTGTTCAGTATTTTGGGCAAAGATGCTCTTTATTTAGCCGGGTTTGGTGTGGGCATTGTTTCGTGAATGAGGGAGTAGCCGACTGTGATCAGAGTGGCTGTTCTTCGCATCAGAATTTTATGACGTTAGACAGCTGGGAAACTATGGAAATGTAGCAAAGTTGAGCTTAGTCCCACCTTCAGCTAACAGCAGGAATCACTGCGAAGGTACCAGCATGGGGTGCTGGTGGAGGTTATGTTGTCTGATTGCTGACTCATTGGTAGACATGCCACAGTGGAACTGTAAGATCCTGACATATGGTCCTGAAAAAGGTCAAGGTTTCTTGTACTGAGGAGCTGTCCAAGCAATGTTCCCTTCACTGTGTCTCATGCATAAAAATACAGGGCTCTAATTTGATCTGCACTTTTACACTGGAAACTGCTGTCACACAGCAAACCTTTTGCACACAGTATAGCTGTACCATTGAATCCTATTTATTCCGAATCATAAAGTACACTGCTGGGGGTGGTGAAGCAGAAACTGTGTCCTCAGTTTAGAATAGGTCAGGTAGCTTAGTTTCAAAACAGCGAGATGAAAGGTTCTCTTTGCAGTTAGTGGCAGAGCTTCCTACTGAGCGAAGTTGACTAAGGTGGTTCCTGATGGTCAGTTCCAGGACACATTGTCAGTTGTTTCTCATCTTGATAGTCACGAGACAAATTGATAAGGTGAGGGGCAGACTTTATTTAAATTGAACAGGCTCCATGGTTTTATTATTAAAGGTTTGGAGTACAAAACAGGTTTTGTTGAACACAACATGAGAAGCAGAGGTAAGCTATTCAGTCCCTCATGTTTCCTTTACCATTCACTAAGGTCACGGCCTCTCAGCATCTACTCTGTCAAACCTTCTCTGAATCTTATGTATTTCAATGATAATCACTTCTTAGTGTCCTAAATTCCAGAGAAGTTAGCCAATTCTACTAATTTGCTATTACAACCTGTCATTTCAGGGAATCTAGTGAACCTTCATTGTTACCCCTCTAAGGTAAGTATATCCCTGTGTATGGTGACCAAATGTGCACAGTGCTCTACGTAGTCACACCAATACCATATATCATTGAATCACAGAAGTGATCTGGCTCTACAAATGAGTATTATTACTGAGTGCCATTTTTCTGCTTTTTCCCCATATCCTTGCATATTATTTTTATTCAAGTAATGATCCAGTGTCCCTCTCCGATCCCTCAGTTGAACCTGCCTCCACCACATTTAAAGCAGTCTATACCATACCCTAACTACTCACTGTGTAACTTTTTTTTCACATCACTTTGCTTCTTTTGCAATTTTTTTGCTTAATTTTCATGAGATTTGGATTTAAATCTATGCCTTCTCATTCATATTCCTTTTACAAATGGGAACAGTTTCTCTTTCTACTTACTCTACCAGCCTGCTCATGATTTTGAACAGCTGAATCAAATGTCCCCTCAGCCACCCTCTTTTCAAGGAGAACAGTCCCACCTTCTTCAAGCTACCCTCATCACTGAGTCACCTTTGCAGCCTCTTTGCATCCTTCTCACAGAGAAGTGCTGGCCCACACTTAAGGAGAGATTTCCTAACTCTCAACAAAACTGAGGCAGAGAGACTCAACTTGAAGGATGCATCATCTCTAGGTACCTGAAGAAGTCTAACTTCGCTAGTGGGGAAATGACTAGAAACAATTATTCGGGATAGAATTAATAGGCACATGAGAAAAAGATGGATTGATTTGGAAGAGTCAGTGTGGATTTGTCAAGGGAAACTTATGTATCATTAACTTGCTGTAGGATTTTGTAGAGGTAACAGAGAGGTTGATAAGGGTAATGCTGTCGATCTCGTATTTATGGACTTGCAAAGGCATTTGATACAGTTCCACACAACGGACTTGAGGAAAGTGATAGGTCATGGAGTAAAGCAACAGTAGCAACGTGGATGCAAAATTGACCGAGTGATAGGAAACAAAGAGTAATGGTAAATGGGTCTGTTTTGGGCTGGAGGAGGGTTTATAGTGGAGTTCCCTAGGGATGGCTTTAGGCGCCTTTGTTTTCCTGATAAATATTAATGATTGGAATCTTGGTATGCAGTGGGGAATTTCAAAGTGTGCAAATGACACAAAACTTGGGAGATTTATAAACTGAAAACTTGGAAGAATTATAAACTGTGAGAACTCCAAAAGGACATTACAAGTTGGTGGAGTGAGAGGATAAATGTCAGATGACGTTCAATGTGGAGAAGGGTAAAGTGATGTATTCTCGTATTCTATGAGGTCAACTTAGCTGATCTCATTAAAATCATTATGGATAGCTTTCAAAATTTTGAGGGGTCTGGACAGAGAGAGACAGTTTGTGCTCATAAATGGCTCAAGAACCATAGGGCACAGTTTTAAAGGGTTTTGTAAAAGAAGCAAATGCAATATCTCAGAAAACATTTTCACACAGTGAGTAGTTAGGGTCTGGGAATGTGGAGGAACCAGATTCAATTGAGGCATTCAAGAGGAAATTATTTAATTATTAAAATAAAAACAGTATCTTGGATTATGGGAAAACAGTAGGAGACTGGCACAAAGTTAAAATGCTCAGAGAGCCAGTACAGGCACAATGGGCTGAATAGCCTTCCTCTGCACTGTAACGATTCTATGATTTAATGATGGTGTTAACCACATAAACACAGTGGCCATAAGAGCAGGCCAGAAGCTGGGAACATTGTGGCGAGTAACTCACTTCCTGACTCCACTTGCCTGGATGAGTGCAGCCCCAACAACGTTCAAGAAGCTTCACACCATCCAGGACAAAGCAGCTCGCTTGACTGGCACTACATCCACAAGCATCCACTCCCTCCTCCACGGAAGTACAGTACTACCAATACTGAGCAATCTACAAGATGCACTGCAGAAATTCACCAAAGATCCTCAGACAGCACTTTCCAAACCGAAGACTACTTCCATCTAGAAGGACAAGGGTAGCAGACACATGGGAACACCACCACCTCCAAGTTCCTCACCGAGCCACTCACCATCCTGACTTGGAAATATATCGCTGTTCCTTCACTATCGCTGGGTAAAAATCCTGGAATTCCATCCCTAATGGCATTGTGGGCCAACCTACAGGTGGCAGACAGCAGCAGTTCAAGAAGGCAGCTCACCATCACCCTCTCAAGGGCATCTAGGGATGGGTAAGAAATGCTGGCCAGCCAGCGATGCCCACATCCCACAAATGAATTTTTAAAAAATGCTGTGAATATTAGTTGTAGCCAGAAGATCAGGAACATTTTAGAAACCAGCAAAGGATGACTGAAAGAATTATAGAGAGAGGTTGACACATGAGAGAAAACCAGCAAAAAATATACAACAGACACTAAGAATGTCACCAAATATATAATAATGAAAATGGGAGCTAAGACAAGAATAGTTTCTTGAGAAGATGAGCCGGGGAATTAATCATGGGAAATGAGAAAATGGCAGGGACCTTGTACATGTATTTTGTATCTGTATTCACAGTAAAAACTGCAAAAGTATCACACAATAATTGCAGACAATTGAGACACAAATGTGAGGAAGGAACTTCAAACGTTATTGTATCGCTAGTGAAAAATGACCAGGAAAGCTAATGAGGCTATAGTTCCTGGACCTGATATCCTGTATTCTAGGACCATGAAGAAAGTGGCTGCATTGGTGGTAACCTTCCAAAATTCAAAGTTCCCTGGATTCTAGAAAGGTTGCAGATTGGAAAACCAATGTAATACCTCTATTCAAGAAAGGCGTGAGACAGAAAGCAGGAGACTAAAGTCGATTAGCTTAAAATCTATCATTAACAAGATACTAGAATTCATTATTAAGGAATACAAGTGTAACAAGTAATTAGGAAGACAAATGGCATGTTGGCCTTTATTACAAAGGGAATAGAATATAAAAGTAGGGAAGTCCATGCAACTGTACGGGGCATTGGGAAGACCCAACATTCTCTCTTATTTTCTTTCCTGCTGTGTGTATTCTGAGCTTAATGTATGGCAGAAGCTTCTGGAAGTGGAAGCCATGTGTCAGCACAGTAATCGACACGCATGGGTTTCCCAGTGGCTGGGTTAGGCTGAGAGAGAATGTTGGTGAGACCACGTCGAAAATACTGTAATAAAAACAAGACTGGATGGAGAAACTGAACAGCTCTGTGGAGAGAGAAACAGAGTCCATATTTCGGGTCCAATGATCCCTTCAGAACTCTGGAGTACTTTGTACATTTTAAAGAGGAATAAACTTGCAGTTTAGGGAATGTTCACTGAACTGATTCCTAGATGAAAGTTTAGGAAAAGTTGAGCAAGTTGGACCTATACTCATTGGAATTTAAATGAGGCAATCTCATTGAAACAGGTAAGGTTCTAGAGCCAGAAGGCTCTTCACAGGATCATGACTGATTTCAGATGTTGAGCACCAGGGATTATGAGGTGATTTAAGCAAAGTGTTGAAATCCATGGTTGGTTGTAATGTAGTGAATAAGGGGAAACTGTTTCTATTGGAAGAAGTAAAACAGTGACTTAGTAAGTTAGAACAGGAGGAAGCTTTTATTGTGTTGTTAAAGTTATTACGATCTGGAATGTGTGGTCTGAAGCTCATGAGAGCAGATCCAATAGTACGTTTCTGGCGATGTTTGCCTTTTTCCTCATAGTTCCCAAAAACCACAGGTTGTTACTACCTGAGAGTTTGGCTAAATTTCCCCTCAATTTCCATTTCTGTGTCACTTATGCACATGGAGGTTGTCCCTGAGAGAGGAGAGTTACTGGAAGCAGCTACTACTACTCTTCAGTCCGGAAATGGCTGTCTCAACCAATTTGTTCCCACTTCCCTGGGCCTTGAATTTAGCTGCGGATTATAGAATGTGACCAAAATCCTTGTGAAAATCCACACAGGGGACATCCACACAATGTCCTCCATTCAGCATCTCAGTGACTCAAACTGAAGAGCTGTATGCGATTTCCCCTGATGTGCTTTGTGTTTGACACATACTGACTGTCTCTCTAAGCAGCCCATTTTGCAAATGCCTGCAAACTGTGCCTCTGATGTTCTAATGCTCAGTGGCCCATCATGACAGCACCGGAGGGATGGTTCTAGACTAAGGGAGTAGGAGATTTAAAACAGATATGAGGAAAAATTACCTCTCTCAAAGGATCGTGAATCGGTGGAGAGAGAAAGTAGGAACTGCAGATGCTGGAGAATCTGAGATAACAAGTTGTAGAGCTGGATGAACACAGCAGGCCAAGCAGCATCAGAGGAGCAGGAAAGCTGACGTTTCGGGCCTAGACCCTTCTTCAGAAATGGGGGAGGGGAAGGGGGTTCTGAAATAAATAGGGAGAGAGGGGGAGGCGGATAGAAGATGGATAGTGGAGAAGATAGGTGGAGAGGAGACAGACCGGTCAAAGAGACGGGGATGGAGCCAGTAAAGGTGAGTGTAGGTGGGGAGTTAGGGAGGAGATAGGTCAATCCAGGGAGGACGGACAGGTCAAGGGGGCGGGATGAGGTTAGTACGTAGGAGATGGGGGTGGGGCTTGAGGTGGGAGGAGGGGATAGGTGGGAGGAAGGACAGGTTAGGGAGGCGGGGACGAGCTGGGCTGGTTTTGGGATGCGATGGGGGAGGGGAGATTTTGAACCTTGTGAAGTCCAACTCTCCGACACCACCTCCTACCGCCCCCTTGATCATGACCCCACCCCCGACAACCAAACCATCATCTCCCAAACCATCCACAACCTCATCACTTCAGGTGACCTCCCACCCACAGCCTCCAACCTCATCGTTCCCCAACCCCGCACCGCCCGCTTCTATCTCCTTCCCAAAATCCACAAACCTGACTGCCCTGGTCGACCCATTATCTCCGCCTGCTCCTGCCCCACCGAACTTATCTCCACCTATCTGGACTCCATTTTCTCCCCCTTGGTCCAGGAACTCCCTACCTACGTCCATGACACCACCCATGCCCTCCACCTCCTCCAGAACTTCCAATTCCCCAGTCCCCAACACCTCATCTTTACCATGGACGTCCAGTCCCTATACACCTGCATTCCCCATACAGATGGCCTAAAGGCCCTCCGCTTCTTCCTGTCCCACAGGCCCAACCAGTCCCCCTCCACTGACACCCTCATCCACTTAGCCGAACTCGTCCTCACCCTCAACAACTTCTCTTTCAATTCCTCCCACTTCCTGCAGACAAAGGGGATGGCCATGGGTACCCGCATGGGCCCAAGCTATGCCTGCCTCTTTGTAGGTTACGTGGAACAATCCCTCTTCCGTACCTACACTGGCCCTAAACCCCACCTCTTCCTCCGTTACATTGATGACTGTATCGGCGCCGCCTTGTGCTCCCACGAGGAGCTCGAACAGTTCATCCACTTCACCAACACCTTCCACCCCAACCTTAAGTTCACCTGCACCATCTCTGATACCTCTCTCTCCTTCCTGGAGCTTTCTGTCTCCATCTCCAGCAACCACCCAGAAACCGATATCCATTTCAAGCCCACCGACTCCCACAGCTACCTAGAATACACCTCCTCCCACCCACCTTCCTGCAAAAATGCCATCCCCTATTCCCAATTCCTTCGCCTCCGCTGCATCTGCTCCCAGGATGAGGCATTCCACTTCCGTACATCTCAGATGTCCTCGTTTTTCAAGGACCGCAACTTCCCCCCCTCAGTGGTCGAGAACGCCCTCGACCATGTCTGCTGCATTTCCCGCAACTCATCCTTCACACCCCCTCCCGCAATAACAACCAAAACAGAATCCCCCTCGTCCTCACGTAACACCCCATCAACCTCCGGATCCAACACATCATCCTCCAACACTTCCGCCGTCTGCAATCCGACCCCACCACCAAAGACATTTTTCCCTCCCCACCCTTATCTGCCTTCTGGAGGAACCACTCTCTCCGTGACTCCCTTGTCCGCTCCACATTTCCCTCCAGCCCCACCTCACCCGGCACTTTTCCCTGCAACCTCAGGAAGTGCTACACCTGCCCCTCTGATGCTGCTGTGAATCTGTGGAATTCACTTCCTCAGAGTGTGGTGGATGCTGGGACATTGGGTAAATTTAAGGGGGATATCAACACATTTTTAATTAGTAATGGGCTGAAGGGTTATGGAGAGTGAGCAGGAAAGTGGATTTGAGGCCAAGATGAGATCAGCCATGTTTGTATTAAAAGACAGATAAGGCATGAGGGCTGAATGGCCTACTCCAGCTCCTTGTTCCTCCGCTACTGTCAGCAAAAAGGGTAAGAGTTGAAATCGATTCTGAGTATGTTGCCCACCACTCTTCCTCCTCCCCTCCTCCAGTGTTGAAGCTACCTATCGGAAAATCCAATACCAAAATACTTTGCTTTCCAGATGACATCCAGGTGCGTTTCTACGAGGATGATGACAATGGTTGGGAGGCCTACGGAGATTTTGGACCTACAGATGTTCACAGACAGGTAAATAAAAACACTGCAGTTCATTGAAACCCTCTCCTGGTGAACAATTCGGCTACAGGGTACCCTGGTTTTGTGCATGTTCTGTCACTGCTATACTCTCCCTCACACTGTGTGCTGCTGGGCTTTGTGTTCTGGGACTGCATCCTAAATAGTAAAAAGTATGAAGAAGTGGGGGGAAAGAGAGAGAGAGAGAGCAAGAGAAAGAGAGAATCCAGGCTTAACATCTGAACACTAATTTGTACACTCTGCCTTTCTATTCCTGGACTCTCCAGCGGGCTGAAATACTTAGTTTCTGTGACATTTACCTGAATACCTTAACACCTTTGAAACTTCAATCAAGTCATGATTTAACCTTCTAAATTCCAGGCACTACAGCCTTTGTTTGCTTTATGCTCTCCTTATAATGGAACCCTTAGCATTCAGCTATCTGTCTGGTAAAGCTACACTGCTCCCTCTCCAAGGCCAGCATCTGCTTGTGAAGGAGCAGTGCCCAGAGCTACACAGATAATCACCAGCTGTGGTCTTCATGTTTCTGAAGCATGACATTATTCTAATCCTCGAGCTAAAACAGGCCAGCATTTCTTCAGGTGTTCTTTATCGGTTTCTTCACATTGTAATAATCTCTATACGTGGACCCTCTGCTCTCTCTCAAACTGCACTCTCACCAGTTACAAAGTGCCCTGTTCACTCCAAAGAGAATGACCTCACATTTACCTGCACTGAAATAAATTTTCTACTGTTTTATTATTGATCAATCCACATCTCCCGGTAATTTTAGATTTTCATCTGCGTTGATTACAACGCTGCCTTCTGTTGGGTCACTAGTAGATTTGGAAATGTGCCTTTTTCTCCCATCTTCTCGGTCATTAATAAATAAATAGCTGAGAGGTCATTCCTCACTGGATTACCAACACTCACCTCCTGCTGATTACAATCACTCTCCAATATTCTCACTCTCTGTTTCCTTCCTCTTAGCTAACTTCAACTTTTGCTAACAATCACTTGAAAAGGACCTTCTCAAATGCCTCTGATACACCATATGAATAACAGTTGTAGACAGTTCATTAATTTAGTCTCCTCTTTAAGAAATTCAGTCAGGCACATCCTGCTCTTTATAAATCCAGCTTTGAAACTGGGTTTTATGCCCTACTTTCTAACGTAACTTTGCTTCAAAACTACATCATGAGCTGCAAAGTGCTTTGGGCGATGTGAAGTTGTGAGAGGCACTACAGAAAAGTCAGTTTTTTTTCTTTTTTTTAATCTAACACCTCACCTGAAGGAGGTACTTCTGACAGTGCAGCTCTCCATCAGTATTAACCCTCTGAACAGTGCGGCATTCCCTCAGCTCTGACTCTCTGACAATGCAGCACTCCTTCAACCGTGATCCTCTGACATGCAGCGCTCCCCAAGCTCTGATCCTTTGACAGTGTGGCGCTCCTTCACTGGAGCGTTGGCCTTGTGTTTTGAACCTGTTCCCTCTCACAGTGGGACAAGATGTTTTTTCTCTGAACTATTGTAATTTAATGATCAGGATTCCAGCCCAGCTGATGTTCACCAGATGTTGCCCATTTGAAAGTTACTGTTTAGCAGCTGTGCAAACATCTGGAAATGTGATTTCTCTGTGGGTTTGTTTATTGCTCAGTTTGCCATTGTTTTCCGGACCCCGCGATACTGGAATATCGATATTGAGAAACCAATCACCGTCTTTGTCCAGCTGAAGAGGAGGAAGGATGGTGAAACCAGTGAGGCCAAGGCATTTACTTACTGCCCCCGAGTGGAAGGTAAGTCTGCAATCCTGGTCTGGAGCTGGGGGCCCAGATATACTCTCACCAGCAGCGAGACTTCCAAGTGCTGTTTCAGAGGTCAGCCAATTAAACCTGACCCTTTGAAAGAAAACGGGAAGTATATTTAAAAAAACAGCATATCACAACCTCAGGACATCTCAATGCAATTGAGCTACTTTGCGAATTGCAGCTAAACTGACAGCTGATTGTCACACAGCGAGGTCCCTCAGATGGAAAATAGCCATGTTGATGTTTGCCACAGATTTTATGGTAGTTGTTTCCCTCAGGGGAGAGGAGCTGAGAATCCAGGTCTGTACATCAATGTTCAGGATTCCAGAGCAAACGTACACCACACGACGGTGCTCAGGATCACTTTTCAATCTTCAGGACTGCAAGGATTTGTTCAGAACTTTGTGCTCAATTTACAACCCTTGTGGAGATGATTGTGGCCTCTCTCCCAGTCCTGTGTGGCCTCACCTCTCCTTGCCATAAAACCATAAGACAGGAGCAGTAGTAGGCCATTTGGCCCATCAAGTCTGCTTTGCCATTCAACAGGGTCATGGTTGATATGGTAATCCTCGACTCCACTTTCCTGCCTTTACCTTTCATTCCCTTACTGATTTGAAAATCTGTTTATCTCAACCTAGAACATAGTTAGTGACCCAGCCTCGACAGCTCCCCGCAGTAAAGAATTCCACAGATTCACTACACTTTGAGTGAAGCAATTCCTCCTCATCTTTGTCTTAAATGTGCAATTCCTTATTCTGCAATTACATCCTCTGGTCATAGACTCTCCCACAAGGGGGAAATAATCTTTGTGGATAATTGGCTGGGACGTCTGAGTGATCCATGGTCTCACTTTGGGTTGAGCCTCCTTCAGCCTTTAGGCCGAGATCAGCCTTCCCCTTGGGCCCAGAGTTTCCAGCTTGGTCTGAGCCTGCCTGCTGCCACCCGCTATTCAAGATAAGGAGCAAGGTTGCCAATCTCAATATGCCCCTCATAACCCGTGTGTCCAAGACTGGAGTGAGCGCTCACAGGGCTGCAGTACTGATTGATGCACTAAGTTTTTCAAAACAGAAGTTACTTTTCTTTTTTGCTTTAATCTCCCTACAGTTAGATATTAAGCAAGGGACAGCGGGGCTATGTTTTTGCAAATGCTGATTTGATGGGAAGCCATTTGCATCACTCCTTTGTTTTCCTTCCAACAGACAAAGAAGAAGTCCATCGCAAAAGGCAGAAGAGACTCCCTCATTTCTCGGATCATTTTGGGGGAGGGGGCTCATCAGGGGGAGCTACAGGATTTGGCGGAAGAGGAGGGGGAGGAGGTGAGGCCTGAATTTTAATCTTGTTTGAATTCTTTTATCGGGAGATAGAGACCAGTGCCTCCAATAGCTGGGAAACTGCAGAGGAGAGTGGGGGCAGGGGAAGGGAGCAGAGGTTGAATGAACTGGGGGTGGTGTTATCTTGTGTGCAGCAGCTGGCCAGCTGACTGAATGGTGAGCTCCATGAGCACTCTCAGGACCTCTGTTGCTCTCTTTACAGGTTATAACTTCAATTCTATCGGTTTCATGAACAGTTTTGGGAACCCACACTGCACGTTCCAACAGGGAATGCACCACTCTGGGGGACCACAGGGGTGTATGGAACTAACCACTGAGCAGAGCCTCCAATACACCACCTCACCACAACACACGGTCCAGAACACGGACAGCTCTTCAGGGGAGGCTCATCAGCTCCCCACTCGGTCAGGTAGGTGAGATGACATGTGCAGAAATGCAGCGGATGCAGTGTACCAGGACTATCAGAAGGACATTGACGGGACAGTGCAAGGGATCCTGGAGAAGAAGCATTGAAATAGGGGAAGCCACAGCTGCTTTGCAAGTGTGAGAATTGTGGGGGTTTCCTGAGTAGTTGGTGATAGGAAGCCGTGTCCCACAGGGTCTGTTCTGTACACCATGTCGATGATTTTGAGTTTGTGGGAGTGGTGACCCAGTTTGAAGGCAATGTTCAAATCTGTAAAGCAGCTTCAAGAGGAAGATTGTACTGCAATGGGTTGGGTAAAAAAGTTCCCTTTTGGACAGTGTGTGTGTTGAGGCAGGGGAGTTGGTGTATAAAAAAGAGGTAAAGATCCTAATCAGGCTGTAAAGTGGCGAGGGGCTGATTGAGGAGGAAATGATTTCGAAGGGTTCAGGTATATGTTAATGGAGCACCTCAAGTGGATTCGACCATTAAAAATGACATTGAATCATGCGTTTTGCTGTAAGAGTACAAAAGTTTGTACAAAATAGTACATTGAAACAAAATCTAAAGTGATAGTCTCCAAATTAAGACAAACAATCCTCTGACTGCAGCACTCGCTCAGTTCTGACTTTCTGACAGTGCAGTGCACCCTCCGTACCGACCCTCCGACAGTGCGCGCACCCTCAGCACCGACCCGTACTACACTGGAGCTATCAGGTCCTGTAGATGGTGGCAGCTGCCTTCATCATGAGTCGCAGTGAGTTGGCATGGCCATCCAACAGGCCACATCCTGCCTGTTACACCCCACGCAGTTTTTACAGACTGCGCAAAGAGCTTTGCGTTCACTTTTACATTAAGTGTCAATCTATCCCCTCTCTTGCCAATCTCATTGTTCACTTCACTCCACCTCTTACTATATTTGGTCCGGCTCTTGCTTGAAGAATTCACCTGATGTGTATCATATAGCCTGTCTTTTGCTTCACCATATTCTTTGTCTCCAAGGAACTCTAGCCTTGATTCGTCCTTATTGAAATGTTCAGAACTTGTACCAGAAACTATATTGGGTCTTGTTCAATGTAGAAGTTCCAGTTTAAATTATTTTTAAGATTGATAGAATCATACAGTACAGAAGGAGCCCTTCGGCCCATTGAGTCTGTACAGCTAAAAAATACACTACTACCTACACGAGTCCCACTTTCCTACACTAGGCCCATAGCTGTGACAAATTCTCCACTCTAACTTGATTCAGGAACCGGTTCTTTAAACTGGAAAACTGCCAACCACTCTGCTATATAGTGAGGTGAGAGAGGAAACCAAAAGATTGCAGAACAGATAATCTAACAATCATTGTTGAGAAATTGTGTGTAGAATGACAGAGCTCCTTTACGTTTCAGCTGATCAAAGAAACCCGCCCTAGATTTGTAGAGAATAGGCCATGATTGCTGAAGCATATTGAACGTTTTCAAGAGGTGACTAAAGTTGTAGACAAAGGATGTCCCTGCATGTTATTTATGTGTCTGTAGCATTTATTTGGACTGCCAGAACTCATTTACAAAAGTGCCTCATCAGAGATTGTTGGCAAAGGTGGAAGCTTGTGGGATTGAAGACAAATGATTGACCTGTTAGGAAATGGGCTAAGTATTGGGAGATCCAGAGGTGAATAATGGGCAGAGTGGTGTCTTGCACTGGTCCTATGATCTTGTGTTGTACTATCAAACTATTCACTGTATTTATCAGTGACTGAGATGATTGTGTAGAAAATCATGTATAGTCAAAGTTTACTTAGAGATAAGTGATATTGCACACAGAGTGGATTGAAACATTAAAATTACCAAGAGATATTGACAGACTGAGAATGAGCAAAACTGTGGCAAATATTTTTTGAAGTAGGCAAGTGTGAGACTATCGAATTTGGACTTAATCAGTGGACTCTCGGCGGTTCGGGGTGGAGGGCGTCCCGGTAAATACATTATTAAAGTGTCATAAACATGTCTAGAAAATAATTCAAAAGGTTAGGGGACTGCTGGCCTTTTATATACAGGAGGGGAAACTTGATGCTTGACTTGCATAAAGTCCTGCTTACAGCAGTTCGCGGCACCAGTGGGAAGGAGATATTGGCTTTGGAGGGAGTGTAGTGAAGATTTATCAGAAGCCAAAGGTTACATTACAAGAAGAGATTCTACAAACTAGTGTTGTAGATCTTATGACTTAAAAAGTTATGGGTTCATATTAAGGAGAATGGATAAGGTATACTCTTTCCGCTTTTGGGGCATCTAGGACATAGTCTGGAATCAGTAGTGTAATTAGGAAACACTTTTAAGCGTAAAGGATGGTAGAGATTTGGGATCACCTGTAAACAGCAATTGATACTGAATTATTTGTTAATTGTAAAAGAGTTTTGCAAATTTGTGTTAGCTAAAGGTATCATGGGATATAGGGCAAATCGGCTAAAGCTACTAAGGGAAACGGGCCAAATTAGCTAAAGTACTAAGGGATATGGGGCATGTGCAGGTAAATGTAATTACGCTATGATCTCATTGAATGACAGAACAGGCTTGAGGACTGCATGGCTTTCTCCTGTTTGAATGTGGAGCTTGTTTAGTAGGAGATGCTGGTCACTAATTCTTCCTTTGTTCTACAGAGCAATTTCTTCATATGAGAGCTCTACAGATTACAGAGCGTACAGCCCGAGCTTTGTTGGACTATGCCATCACTGGGGACGTACGCATGCTATTGGCTGTTCAGAGACACCTGACAGCTATTCAGGATGAAAATGGAGACACGTAAGTAATTGTTTATTCCTGAAACAATGTGTTTACAGTGATGTCTCCTTGGTGATGTATTTTTGATGATGTACCTACCCAGTGGTGTGTTTACAGTGACGTACTGTGATTCCATTAGAGACTGAAAAAAGATATGAATTTCCCAGTGCCCTCTGCAATCACATAATGAGATTTCACAACCCAAGACTTTTACTACAACAAACAAATTAAAATCAACATTATCTAATTATTAGTTCACAGGCAATTAATATGCTGCATTACAGCTAAAGCTATTGTCAGAATTCACTTCTTAACATCGCTGAAAACCCCAAACCATATTGATACCTCCTCCATACTCTTGGCAGGAGTCACTTTAAGCCATGTGTATGAGAATCCTGAGATTCTTCTGCCTGAACAGCCTCCCTTCTCCCTGCCCAACCAGGGTGAAACTTCCAGTGTCCTTTTAAAAGCACTCCTCTTCACACAATCTTTTGAACACAAATGGGTTCCAAATAACAAGATACACTGTCACAATTCCTCGATTCTTAACTCTTCACAATCTTTGTTTCATCAAGCAGGGTTTCAGCCCTTGCTTGGATGAGCCCAAAATACATAGGAGCAGATGTAGACTATTTATTCCATTGAATCTGCTGAGCCATTCAATGAGATCATAATTGATCTGATAATCTTCAACTCCACTTTCCTGCCTTTTCCCCATAACCCTTGATTCCCATCTTAAAAATCTGTCTATCTCAAACTTGAATCTAATTAATGATCCAGCCTTGACAGCCCTCTATGATGAAGTATTCCAAAGATTCACTACTCTCTCGGAGAAGAAATATCTCCTCATCTCTGTCTTAAATGGGTAACCTCTTATTCTGAGATTATACCCTTTGGTCCAAACTTTCCTACAACCTCTCCACATCTACTCTGTCAAGTCCCTTTAATTGTGTTTCAATGAGGTCATCTCTTATTCCACCAAACTCCAATGAGTACAGGCCAAACCTACTCCACCACTTGTCATAAGAGTATCCCTCCATACCCAGGAGCAGCTGAGTGAATCTTCTCTGGACTGCCTCCAATTCCAGGATAGCTTTCCTTAAAGATTCCCTTTCTTTTGACTAGCTGCTTACGGACTAGACCAGACCCCCTCAAATTATTTTAAGAAGGTAGCCTAGACCCTAACTTTTTATTTTTTTTAAAGGTAGGTATGAAGTGCATGTTCCAGATATGATGTGACTGGTCAAACTACTCGACATTAAGCAAAACACAATTTATTTAAACACTACAGTTAAAATACAAACAAAAGGAAGAGGAATTTAGAATGACTTAACTATTGGAAAACTTAACTAATAATAGATACAGTATTTACTATATTAGAACAGTTAATTAGTAATAACATCCCATAAACACACCACTTGGCAAAAAGGTAAATTCAAACACAGATTCTTACATGCAGTTTTCCAATCAGGGTGGAACAACATCAAGAGAGATTTCAGAGAATGTAGCAGCTAGGAATCATTTTTACTGAAACTCCAACTCTTCTGGGACCCAAACAGCTTCTTATTGCTACAGGAAGTTTGATCTGTGAGAACCGGCCACTCCACTTCCATTGTTTCAAAACAAAACCTAAAGGCCTCCTCTGTTGACTTAGGCCATCTCCCATAGCCCACTTTGACACCTCTGCTTTTACCATCTCTCTTCAAATAAAAACTCGGGACAAAACAACCTTTTTAATGTGACAGCATTGTCACACTGGCAAAGGAGCATCTGCTTTCGTCTCCTCCCTGAAATCTTTCTGTCTGATTGAATTTAAGAGTCTGTCAGCAGCAAGACCAGGTCCTTTCTCCTTTCTATCCTAGTGTTCAAACTTACAGCTGACATTGAATAAGTTTTGATTTACATTTCTTGTCTCCATAATGAGTAGATCATGTGCGTTGGTCTCCAGGCAGACTTGGTATCAGGTTACACAGGCCTACTCCAAGCAGATTGCACAGAGGTCCCATCCCCTTCTCCAAGCAACTCCATTTTACCGCAAATTAAAGAAGACTGTCTGAAGCATAACCATCTTATAAAGTCCAGTGCACTCAGCAACAGCATGGAATGTGAAAGAATTTGAGAAGGATTTGGGGAAGTAAATGGGAAAAGACTAGTTTTGGAGAGCAGCAGGTTTAGAGGGCAGTGGGTTCCAGCTGCCATCCCAGTTCTGAGGTATCCTAGTTGACTTTGGAGTCTTGTGCCCACCTTTGCCGGGGTTGGTGGATTTGTCCAAGAACTGACTGGGATGTGGATATCAATTCTCACAGGGTGGAGACTGGGGTTTGAAGGAAATCTACTGTACCCACTGAGGAAAGTTGATCACAGAGGGAGGAGCCAATCCAATCCATATACCTCCCCCAAATCAGGTCAACGAAATGTCTCAGTGCTATCTGAGGCTGGCACTTTGTTCCAGATACTATTTGCAGACAGTGCTGAGCTGCACTTTTAATGGGCTCTCTTCTCTCAACAGTTCATTACATTTGGCCATCATCCATCAACAGCCTCTGGTGGTTCAGCAGCTGCTCCAGGTTATCGTCAGTATTCCAGGGCAGAACATCATCAACATTCCCAATGATCTACGTCAGGTCAGTCTCTGTACATCAGCATTCCCAATGATCTACGTCAGGTCAGTCTCTGTACATCAGCATTCCCAATGATCTACGTCAGGTCAGTCTCTGTACATCAGCATTCCCAATGATCTACGTCAGGTCAGTCTCTGTACAATAATATTCCCAATGATCTCTTAAAACGTATATGACCTAAAGGTTTGGTCATCTGACCTAACATTCCTCTATGTGGCTCAGTGTCATACTTGGTTTTGGAATTGCTTTCCTTTGTACTCGACATTTATTTAGATTGAAGCTGATTTGATGTTTACATGCCTATCCTTCCAGCCTTTTTAATGTCATCTGGTATCTTATTATATTTCACATCAATTAGTTACCCATCAAGTTGCTGTACACAGAAATGTGGCTCTTCTACTTCCAATTCCTGAATCCAGATCACTGAAGGTGTCACATTCAAATATAGCAAAGACAGCATATACACATATAGCAAACAAGGCCACAGGGATTAGGTATACAGTGATGCTGTCTCTACACTGTCCCCATCAAACTGCCCCCAGGGCAGGTACAGCATTGGGTTATATTACAGAGTGAAGCTTCCACTACACTACCCCAACAAACACTCCCAGTTCAGGGACAGCATGGAGTTAGATACAAAATAAATCTTGCACTACACTGACCCCATCAGACACTCCCAAAACAGGTACAGCAAGGGGTTAGATACAGAGTAAAGCTGCCTCTACACTATTGTCATCCAATGCTCCCAGGACATGTACAGCACAAGATAAGCTACAGAGTAAAGGTCTCTCGATACTTCCCCATCAAACACTCCCTGGACAGGTACAGTATAGGGATTTGTTACAGAGTGAAGCCCCCTCCAACTGTCCTCATAAAACACTCCCACGACTGGGACAGCATGGATACAGAGTAAAGCTTCCACTGCACTGTCTCCCATCAAACACAGCTAGGGCGGGGGTAGCATGGGGTTAGATAGAGAGTAAAGCTCTCTCTGTACTGTACCCCATCAAACACTCCCAGGACAGGGACAGAATAGGGTTAGCACTTTGATCACTGTGCTGTAAGCCTCAAACATTTTGTGATTGCTTTGTTTTCTGTATCCTAGACCCCTTTGCACCTTGGAGTAATCACCCAGCAACACAGGATTGTTGAGCTCTTACTCACTGCTGGGGCTAATGCCACTATTTTGGATCGTCATGGAAACTCTATCCTCCACCTTGCTCTCCACAGAAAAGATGAGAAGATGGTGGAATTACTGCTGGAACATGTCAAACCTCAGGCCCTCAGCAGGCTGATGAAAATGCCAGACTGTAATGGTAATGTTCACAAACCCATCGTTAAAATGTCCACCACCGTTTCTTTTCTTTATTAATTCACAGGATGAGGGCATCGCTGGCTTAATTGCCCAGAGGGCAGTTAAAATCAAACACATTGCTGTGGTCTGGAGTCACATGTAGGCCAGACCAGGTAAGGATGGCAGTTTCCTTCCCTAAAGGACATTAGTGAACCAGATGGGTTTTTCCCCAACAATCAATTCATGGTCATCATTAGACTCTTAATTCCAAATATTTATTGAATTCAAATTCCATCATCTTCCATGGAGGGATTTGAACCCAGTTCCCCAGGACATTATCTGGGTCTCTGGATTGACAGTCCAGCGATAATACCACTAGGCCATCACCTCCCCCTGGTCTGATGCAAGCTGCCAAAGCACAGGAGCCCAGGTTTGACCCCTGGTGGTGGTGGTGGAGTTAACTGACCTCCCCTCCAATGGTGGGACCACTGCAATTTTCCCAGTTTTCCTTGTATTCCAGAGAGGTTGGGATTCCTGCTGCTGATCTTCATGCACAATCCTGTGTGTGGCTGCTCGAGTGAGGAGTACCTGTGCCTGTGTTACTGTGTCCGCATCCCCAGGCGCCTTCTGGTCTCTTAATAGCTATGCCCAGCAAGGTTCAATACCATAGGACATAAAGGAGATCAAATATAACCCAAAACTTCCACCTTTTTTTAAGATGTAGAATCTCAGCAAATGTGTAACTGATATTTTTCTTAGCCAATCATGGAGTGTCCATTTTTAACTGACTGTGCCTGATCTGTTCCTTTCTTTCTCCAGGATTGTACCCTGTGCATTTGGCAGTGAAAGCCATGAATAAAAATTTGGTGCAAGTTCTGCTGAACAAAGGAGCCGATAAAGACGTAGCTGAACAGAAGAGTGGCCGAACGCCCTTGCACTTGGCTGTGGAGGTCCAGAGTCTGAATCTGGCTGCGCACCTCTTGTTGGAAGTAAGTTACTTTAGACATGGTAATGGTGTCTCTGCAGATGGCCATGGGGCACTCACCTCCTCATCCTTTCTCCCCTAGCACGTATTCTGTAGGTTGCTAAACCAGCCTGTTCTCTCGCGCTTAACATCAAGGCCGATAAAAGACACATTTTTAATCAGTAAGAGAAAAGGCAGGGAAGTGGAGGTGAGATTATCAGATCAGTCATGATCCCATTGAATGGCACAGCAGACTCAATGGACCAAATGGCCTACTTCTGCTCCTACATGTTACAATCACCAAGGAGTCTGTGCTCTCCAGGGTCTCCTGAGGTGAAGTTTTCCGGGCGTTTACCAGTGTGCAGTATTGGTCACTAGCCAACTGGGATGGATAAATTGGTGTTTCTGAGATCCTTAAAGAGAGCTTGATGAACAATGGGGAAAGTATAACAGCAGTCCAATGAAAGAGCTACAATATTCTGCATGTTCCAATGTTTATGGAGGCAGGGGTCTTGTCACTTAAGCTGCTTCTGAAGTGTTTAAAGTTTTATATCCATACTTTGCAAGTCAGAAACTAGTCCTGAATTCTTTGTGCTATGTTCTCCCCCAATTCAGGCTGCTGCTTTACCAGCCTCCTTAATCCATCTCTCGCTAAGGTCAGGCCCCACCAAAGTTCTCACAGCTTTTTATGCATCTTTATTTCAGCATTTAACACCATAAGTCTGCCGCAAGTTACTCTGTGTGCTGCTCTCTCTTACTGCTTTCTGATTATTATCAATCTTTCATTCTCTCTTTTGTCTCAGAGTCACTTCCTCACTTCCCCTTGGTTTTCTATTTGTGCTTCTACTGCTACTCTGTCACTCTCTCACTCATACATTCTTTCTCTCACACTTTTTTCACTCCCTTGTACACTCTGTTTCTCTTGTGCATGTATAAGAAGTATTTAGATGGACCTGGCATCGCAAGTGCACATGGGCCAAGTGCTGGCTGGAGATCTCTATGACTGTATGAGGCCTTTCTTTTCTCATCATTGTTTTCTCTCTCTCTCACTCTCTCTGTGCACCCACTGACATGCTGTTGTTCATTAAGTGGAGAGTAATCAGAGTTAACATTCTGGGTCAAGTGACCCATCCTAACTCTGATTTCTGTCCACAAATTCCGCCAGAGCTGCTGAGCTTTTCTGGCAATTTCTGCTTTTGTTTATGATTTACAGCATCCACAGTTCTTTTGGTTTTTATTTGCTGTTGTTCATTGTCCCTCTCCCTAAGCCCTGCATTTAAAACAGGATGATTGGGAACAGATGGAGACAGCGATTCCCTGAGGAACGAAGCTCCCAGCCCCCGAGTCAGAGAGGATCCTACAAACTGAGAGAGTGAAGACACTTGGTCTGACTGTGCTGAAAGGATCAACTGCTGATCTGTTTGTAAACCCTTGTGCCAAGCAGACAATTCTAATAACGATTTGTTGCTGTTTGTCCCAGGCTGAAGTGGAGGTGGACCGGCCTACATTTGAGGGGAACACTGCTCTTCACTTGGCTGCAGGATACGGTCTCCCAGCTCTCACAGCTATGCTGCTGACTGCAGGTTTGTCACAAGGGCATCTGTTCACTCCTGTTCTCAACACTTGATGGGGCCAAATCTCCCTCAGAGTCACAGTGTAAATTAGACACCATATGAGATCCTCTGTGTGTCTGAATGTTCCACTTCCAGAAAATTCAGGAAAGGGAAGTCTAGTTGTCATTTGATTTCTACCCCACTGAGACTGTATCTTTGTTTGAGCCACAGCATCATTGAAGTTTACAGACCAGAAGCAGCCCCTTGGGCTCATTGTGTCTGTGACTGTTCTTGCTGTAGCTTTCACATTAGCCCTTTGTCTTCATCTTTATTTCAGTCTATTTCTGTCATTTAAAAGACCAAAAGTTCCTGCCTGAGGGAAAACCATCTCTGCTTCAATACGGTCTATGCAGGAATTTTTGCTCCTATCTTTCCTTCTGTTTTTATGATGCCCCCTCATCACTGTCTCTTCATGTTGAGGAAGACTACTGATAATCCATGCACTTCTTAGTTTTAAAATTGAGTAAATCTGTTTCTCCTTTGCTCCAGTTCCCCCAGTCACACGTAAAAACCATTCAGGGGAATGATGCCAATATCCTCACTGTCGTGGGCTCTTCGACCTTGCACCCAAGTTATGATCCAACCCTCTGCACGGAGCTTCCTCCCCAAACCCCACCTCATCCTCTCCAAAGCTCTGTCCCACTCTTGTGCAAGAAGACCCGAACCCTCTGTCCAACTCCCACCTTGGGCACAGCTTACCAATTGTGGGTAATCAGAATATATTAGTGACTGAACGATCTGTTTGACTTTAATCTTCATCTCTCCCACCACCAACTGCAGGAGCTGATAAATATGCAGAAAATTATGAACCCAAAATAGATTCGGAGGAAGAGGATGAATCGGATCAGGAGATCTGCCATGGGCACACGCCTCTTGATATCACTGCCTGTGAGAAGGTATGTGGACAACTTGAGGAGGGATCAGGCCATCTGAACAACAGCTAATTAGATTCCCCCACCTCCCACCTAATCTTCAACAATACAACACAATGCAATCCCTGTCTATGCAATATAGCCCTTTTAGTGTCAGTATTGATCTATTCTGTGCCCCCTCTAAGCTCATTCCTCCAGAATAGTGCCCAGAACTGAATGCAGGATTCCAGATCAGGTTTAGCTAGATCTCTCTGCAACTATAACAGAACTTTTGCCCTGTCGTATCTCAGCCTTGTTAGGTAAAAGGAGCATCCCATTATCATTTCTAATTTTTTTTTATATCAGACTACAGGCATTTTCCAATTTCTGCAAATAGATTCTAAGTTGCTCAGTTCCTCCATAATTCTGTCTTCAGTCTAAAATGGATGACACTCATTCTCCACATTAGACTCCATGTGCCACAGTTTTAACTACTCATTTATCAATGTGTTCCTTTGTTACAGTTCTGCTCCTATTTTCATGAGCAGAAATGTAATAAAGGAACATAATGATTAAGTGTCAGGCAGCCTAGTGCCATTGGGAAACTTAGATTTAAGAACTGGCTATGATTAGTCAAAAGGAAACTTGGTAAGATGGCTGACACAGGAATGGTAAACTTTGTGATTTTCGTAATGTTCGAGCACTAAGATCTTGTTTTGATTTGAATTGAATGGGCCTTTTACTGCGTTGCAGAAACCGATTGTCTCTCTTGCTCTGTACAGGTTCGTGATATTTTACTGGGAGAAACTTCAAAATGGAAGGATGGGGATCAAAAATTGCCTGAACGCCAACAAGGTAACTGCCTCTCAATTCTAACCCTGGGCACGACGTGCTCAGTGACTACCCGCACCAGCCACTGTACTATGGGAACCCATTCTGCAAAGCTCCTAACAGCTTTTCTTTCACTCTTTAGTAAGTGCCTTTGCTCCCATCAGGTCTTAGGCAAAAGATTGAGACTGTTCCTAATCTAAGCCAATAGCTCAATAATTAGTCACTGTGTCCCTGATCTCTCAGTTCGGGAATGCTCTGACCAATATTCTTCTCTTGATCAGACTTTGCAGACAAAGTCATTCTGAATGTTGTTTCCATTCCAAGGAATGTGTTTGACTTTCCCCTTCATGAGCTGTGTGAGTGATGTTTCTGGTTCTCTGCTTTGTCAGTGCATGGTACCAATGAGCTTAGAGAGGAGAAAAAGCATTCATATAGACCCTGTGACATTGAGTGGAACAAATCTCACGCTTATGGTCAAGGAACAGAACAGTGTTTTAGGCTCTGTCAAGGATGCTGCACTCAATTACTGTGCATCTATTCCAACAAAGTAGTTGGTCCGGTTCTAGAAAATGAAGCAAGGGAAATAACTGATGTAAACAGAGGACAAGAGTCAGAAAATAGTGATCGTAATATGATTAGGTACAGACTTTGAGTCAGAGTGGGCTCCGCTATCTGCCTGAGTCTCTGCTCACTGTTGTTCAACTTCACTACTTAATGTGTTCTGAGGTAAGCAGGCCTCCTCCACTGTGGACCAGGCCTCTTGGCAGTGCTCTGCCTCCCTCAACCAGTGAGGCCTTTGCATGAACCCATTTCACTGTCCCTAATCTGCATCAGGCTGCAGAATCTGAAGATATGGCTGAGGTTTCAGGGGAGGATATCTGGACCCAGTGCAGTTCCTCTGCACGTTTCCTTCGGGGTGTTTTTGAATCCCTGGTTATTTGGACTGTAAACTAACTGCTGGCTGTCGTTTCCTCACAGGCAATATTGCATCACTGGGTTCTGAAACCCTGGGAGAACTGAACAAAGTGTTAAACCAGGAGGTGACAGGGTCAGACTGGATGAAACTGGCAGAGAATCTAAACCTTGGCTCTCTTACTGAGTTACTCAAAAGTGCCAAGTCTCCAAGCAAGTCACTGTTGGATAATTTTGATGTATGTTTGCCTGGTATTTGTTTCTCAATTGTATTGACACAAACTGTACAGCCCGGTAACACAATGGAAAAGGTCAGATTTGCTCATAAAGATTAATCATCTTCGATTATTCCTTCAGTCATGTAATCGGGGCTCTTGAGGGTCTAAGTGAACAAAGTGTTTTATGGGAAGGGTCCTAATTTTAATATGAATTGAAGCCCCTGTGTTCAGTGCTTAGTCTGTGCTGAATACTTTCAGCAAAAGAAGGTGCTACGCTTAACTGCATCTTGTCCTCTCACTTTCCCATTGAGGCCTATCCCTCCAGCATCTTAATACCCCTATCAAAACCCACAGTCAATAGGGAAGAGTCTAAGGGGACACTCAGAAGCATTTGATGTGGATCCACAAGAGGTCAGTAGCAAAAATGGGGTTTGTGAAAGAGTCCTAACCATGTGATATGTCTAGGATCAGAGGCCATAATCTCAAGAGTAAGGGGTTAACTATTTAATCATAGATGAGAAGGAATTTTTCTCAGAGTTTAATGAATCAGTCAAATTCTTTACACCAGAAGAGTCATAGAGTCATACACCATGGAAACAGACCCTTCGCTCCAACTTGTCCATGCTAGTCCCATTTGCCAGCATTTGGCCCATCTAAATGCCTTTATTGTAATTGTACCCACCTCCACCATTTCCTCTGGTAGGAGTGTAGAGGCTGGGTGTTAAGTATATTCAAGGCTGAGATAGGTAGTTTTTATTAGTAAGGGAATCAAGGATTATGGGCAAAAGGGCAGGAAAGTGCAGTTGAGGATAATCAAATCAAGCACAATCTTGTTGAATGGCAGAGCAGATCGATGGGCTGAGTGCCCTACTTCTGCTACTATGGTCTCATGAGTTTAGAGGAAGGAAAGAAATATTGTACAAAATATAGGGATATAGCAGGAGATTGGTGCTAGGTAATGATGCTTGTTTGAAGAGCTGGTGCAGGCACAATGGGCCTAATGGCTTCCTTTTGCACTGTAACAATTCATGGTCAGAGTTAGGATAAAGGGAACATACTCTTGATTTCTGGGATATGAATAGTGAAGTTCCCTACGATCTGTGGGGACTCATCATATATATTAATGACTTACAGAGAATTCAGTAGTTAATACAGAATTCTGTAGGTAAGCTTGGATATGACACTATGTTAGGAGGATGTAGGTGGGACGAGAAAATTACAAAGGGACATGGATAAGACTAAAACAGGGCCAGTGTATGAGCAGTCTGGTGAAATGATGATCAAAGGAACCAGGAATCCCCTTTCCAAAAGAAAACACTCTTTGCTCTGGTTTAATTGTGCTGAATCTGTGCTGCCCTCTCTAAGGCAAATACACCCAAACCTGTGTGTGGTGCCCAGAATTAAACACAGTATCACTCTGAGATAAAGGCCAATATTTCATCTAGCTTCTTAATACCTTTCTTGTACCTCCTGTATGTGACCTGTGTTTGTTCACCAGAATTATACCAGGGAGAAGAGCTTTAAACCAGGAAGCCAATCTTTGAGGCAGCAAATTCCTGTTTCCTATGACCACCTCCTGCTAGACTGCTCTTTCACTGCCCTGTCTCAATCCTGTAAATTCACAGCAGGACTATCCAGTGGCTCACTGTGTTTACTTGTTGACGGAATGTGGAGTGGTTTCAAATGTACTGATGTGATAGCTCAATATTGAAAAGTGAAGATGCAAATCTCTCTCTCGGTGTCTCTTCAGATTTCGGGTGGAACAATCGAGCAGTTGGTTAACGCACTACAGTGTTTGGGATTGAAGACGGCTGTGAACATAATCCAGAAAACAGAAACGTATAAAGCACTTCAGTCGTCAGGTATGTGTCGTGTGCTCTTGAAGGGAATGATGGAGTGAAGGAACATTGCTCCCGTGCTTGTCAATATGGCCATCTCCCAAACCTGTTTCATACAACCACAGTCATTGAAAGTTAGGGGCTGGAGGGCAGTGTGGATTCTAGGGCTAAGGTGAAATGCGATGGCTGGGGTTGTGAGGGACAGGGGCGGGGGGAATGAATGAGGGGTGGTGGAGAGGTTTTGGGGGTGAGTGGTCTGGCGTGCAGGCTTTCACCCCATGTCCCCTGGTCTGTTGTGGAAGCTGAGATTGAAGAAAGTCTGTTTCTTGCAGATGCGAAGCAATCCGTGGACAGTGCCTATGAGAGCGGCTCACAACAGGTCATCAGTTCAAAAGATCATTTGAGTACCACGACCCAGACTAGTGACCAACAGGTTTAACAGGGAGCAGGATCTCATGTTTCTACACAACTGAGAGAATTAAAAGAAAGAGATCATCATTCCTACAAACTGTAACAAGCTGATCCTTTAGAAAGGATACCTTTAAAAAGAACATGTTTGTGATTTGCCTGCCTTTGGATTCTGGCCTCTTTATATTAACAATTGAAAATTGACGGGTGATTTTGTCATTGATCCCAGTGTGTTGGGATTGACTGGTTATTTCAGTCTCACTCACTAATTGCCTATTCTGCTGTGGAGTTCCTCCCAGTGCTCTAAAGGGTGAAGCACAGACCTCAGTGTGGATAAAACAACAGGTTAATGTTTACACGTCTATGTTTGTGCTAAAGAGTTCACATTCAATAAAGAACACAACTGGATGTTGTCTCTTGCTGTGTTGGCCCTGTGACTGGGTTTCATTGATTGGAGAGCAGGGCTGAGAGAGGGCACAATGAAGAGCTAGCCTGACAATGGGTCCAATTCTCTCCTTCATCCTATCTTCCTGTCCACACTGGTCAGGTTTCAGGGTCTCCACACAACCTACTGTGTAAACCACCATATTCCTGATGACACCAACCCTATTCCAGTGTTATTAATTGGATAATGTGGGTACTTCACCAGGAAAGGGCCACAAACTGGTTCTGAATCGGAAGCTCTCTCTCATTACCCTCTCTCAGAACCTGTGACACCCGCCTTGGCCTCACTATTTCATTGCAGAGGAAGAGTGGAAAAACAAAAAGGGGAATGTCTACCTGTAAATGTGGTCACTTTGGGGAAGAAACATCCACAGTCTATCGAGAGGAGCCTCATCCTGAGCCACACTCTGCAATTCCAAACTGATGTTTCTCAGTGTTTTGTGGGGACTGGATAACCAGCAGGAGATTGAGTCACCAGTGCTCAGTTTCCCTCTCAGTCTTGTACTGATCTGTTTTATTTATCTTTTTCTTTGTTTAATTTATGATTTTATAGTGTAAGATGCAAAGATTGTAGGAGTAATTATGCGCTGATTAGTTTAAACTTTGATCAATAAAGCTGATATTGCTGGAGTGCCTTTGAATGATTTGGTTCAGGCCAGTTCTATCCTAAACAGAACACATCCACATAAAGCAGATGATTGCTAAAATCATCACTTTTAAGGATATCAATTTATTTTGTTGGAAGAAGTCTTCTGCTGTCATTACACAGTCTCCTCATGGCAGAGTTGGCTGACTACCAATAATCGCCATCAACAGAATGATACAATGTGTATCTTTGGTATAAGTGAAAAGCACTGTTAATATACTTTTGATAATGTTTCTGTGGCTTAAATTCCTTCAAGACGTTTTATAAAATAAAATTATAAAAACCAGTAGATTTGCACTAGGATCTTCATTCATTTTGCTGCTGAATTTATGCACAAGTTGAATGCATTTCTTTATTCTGGTAATGATTCATCGCTATATTGGACTGCAGCACCAACTACAACATACAATGGAAACTGAATCATTACAAGAGCAAGATTAAGATTATTTCAGTATCAGGTGGCACTGAAAGATGGAATGAAACACAGACATGACAAGGTGATTAGCAAGAATAGTTGTCTATCAAACCTGCCTTGACACTCATGATGCCTGGAATATCATAAATACACACTCTGCATCCTTCCTATACAGAGAAATACACATGCATACAGACCTGTGTGTGTGTGTGTGTGTTTCTCCCAATCAACTCATCCTCTGGGAATGGCAGAAGAGATTCCCTGGGATGATAGAGGGGGATAAAAAAAATTCAGAAACGTTTGTCTCTGACTCCTCCAGATTAGAATGTCAGTGATCACATGAATGTCACCAACAATTACCTGTTGATCTGCTTCCCTTCCCTGTGCTGTGATCACTGCCCAATCTGTTGAGTACTCTCTTGTAGCCTGAGAATTAGCACCATATATGCCAGGATGGGCATTTGCTCCTTTGGCTGGTATTTTGTTGTTCTCTCAGTCTCCTAAGAAGGTACTACTAAGGTTGAATTTTAAGTTTGCACCATACCCACAGTGGCTGAGGAAGATTCTCGAATTCAAGACTGTAAGCTGCTGCTGGTCTCACCTGGCAACTGCTTCCTTTGGCTGAACATACCTTTTATTCCTGATTGTGAAATTACAGCGTCCAGAATCTCACTGAATACAGCATCGAGGTCTCCTGGACAACAATGCTCAGACAGTGCATTGTCAAAAGCATCTAACCCCATTGTGATGGGAGAAATATTTACCTCCTCCTCAGCTCTTACTCGCTTTCAGCCAGAAGTGAAGCCTTCACTGGTCATTACTCCTTTTCTTTATTCCGTTTAAAACCTCCCCCCGCCCGGTTTGTCCCTAAACATGCATTTTATTTCATTGAGGTACTGTGTGGCCTCATTAAGCTGTACCAAAGTGAACATGACATGCAAACTCTTCAAACGTTCTCACCATAAACCATACATTCTTCACTTCTTAACTTGTCTCCTCAGTCCAAGTTCCTCTCTGTCCCTGAGGAGGATGATGCTCGTTAGCCTGGCAGTCGGTAGGTAACATAACCTTGTGCTCTTGACTGGAGACCAATAGAAACATAGAAGATAGGAGAGGAATAGGCCATTCAAACTCCTGAGCCTGCTCCACCATTCAATATGATCATTGCTCATCATGGGGCTAAATACCTTAATTCCATCCCCCCCATATTCCTTAATCCCTTTAGCCACAAGCATTACATCAATATCTTTCTTGAAAACATAATGTTTTGGCTTCAGTCACTTTTTGTGGAAGTGAATTTCACAGGCTCACTACTCTCTGGACGAAAGAATTTCCCCTCATCTCAGTCCTAAAAGGTTTACCCCTTATCCTTAAACTATGAGCCCTGTTTCTGGACTCCCCCAAAATCAAGTAACCTGTATAGTCCTGTTAAACTTCTTCTAAACTACACTGAATACAATCCGAACTGACACAATTACTTCTCATATGCTAATCCTGCATTCCCAGAAATCAACTTGGTAAACCTTCACCCCCCTCCCAATGTAGCAAGAGCACCCTTCCTGAGATGAGGAGACTAAAACTGCACACAATACTCCAGGTGTGCCTCTCCAAGGCCCTGTGTAGTGCAGCAAGACATTCTTGTTTAATATCTTTTCTTCCAACTACACTGTCCCATACTACTACAATAGTCCTTGTTACAGTCCCCACTTGAATGGCCCCCTTATACCCCAGTGCTGTGGTTAGTTTGCTGGTTCATCTTACATTTGGCTGCACGAGGTACAGGAATCTCAAAGTATTGGACAATGGCTGAGTGTTCCAAACTCCAATCCTACGTTTTGCTCTTTGTCCTTAGTGCATTTTTACAGTCAGTACCAAAGTTTGTTTGGTAATGGCCTATGCATTGTAGGACATTTTATGACATTAAAGGTATAATAAAAAATTCAACTTGTTTAATGAGCAGACAGGAGGCTGAAGTGACTTTTAAATATCATAATTTGTGCTCTGATTAGAGTTTAGCACATGGAAAAAGGAAAGATTGCTGTCTGTGTCCCTTCACCAAACTTGACCGCATGTAAGAAGGATGTGATTACATCAGCGAGCGTGTCTGGGCTGGAGCATTTCAGCGATGAAGAGAGACCAATTAGACTGGGTTTGTTTTCCTCAGAGCAGAGAAGGCTAAGGGAGGATCTGATTGAGGTGTAAAATTTTGAGGGGTATAGACTGAGTAGACACAGAGAAACCGTTCCCCTTAGCAGAGGGGTCAATTATAAGGGGACATAGTTTTAAGGTAAGAAGCAGAGGTTCAGAAGTTATTTTGAGGATATTATTCACCCTGAGGGTGTTCAGTATGTAGAGCTCACTGCCTAAAATGGTGGTACAGCCAGAAACTTTTCAAGACATTGAACTATTCAGGTGAACACTTGAAATGCCAATGCATGCAAGGCTAAGGGCCAAGTGCTAGAAAATGGGATTTGAAGAGACAGATGATTCATGGCCAGCACAAACACAATGAGCACTTTGTGTGTTGTACAAACTTTATGATTCTATAACCTGTCTCTTCAAAACAACAGCCCGTTTCCTTAAAACAGTGACCTGTCCGTTTGGGACTTGGCCTGTCTCTTTAACACCATAGGCTGTCCCTTTAGAACGTAAGAACTAGGAGGATGAGTAGGCCTTTCAGCCCCTCGAGCCTGCTCCCCCATTTAATATGATCATGGCTGATCTCATCTTGACTTCAACTCTTCATAATCCTTCAACCCCTTACTAATTGAAATTCTGTCTATCTCCTCCTTAAATTTACTCAATGTCCCAACATCCACGGCACTCTGGGGAAGTGAATGCCACAGATTCATGACCCTTTTCAGAGAAGTAATTTTTCCTCGTCCCTGTTTTAAATCTGCCATCCCTTATCCTTGATCGTATGATTTGTTGTTATATGTACCGAGATACAGTGAAAAGTGTTGGTTTACATGCTATGTAGGCGGATCGTACCGTTCAAAGTGCATCAAGGTAGCAGAACATCATGCAGAATACAGTGTTACAGCTGCAGAGAAGGTGCAGAGAGAGAGATCAGAATTAAAATTTGAGAGGTCTGTTCAAAAGTCTGATAACATCAGGGAAGAAGCTATTCTTGATGTATGTGTATTCAAACTTCTCTATCTTCCACCCGATGGAAGAGGATGGAAGAGAGTATAAACAGGGTGACAAGGAGTCTTTGATTATGTTGGTTGCTTTCCTGAGGCAATAGGAAGTACAGATGTAGTCAATGGATGGAAGGCTGGTTTACGTGATGTACTGGGCTGTGTTCACGACTCTCTGTAGTTTCTTGCGGTCCTGGGAAGATCAGTTCCCACACCACGCTGTGATGCATCCAGGTAGGATGCTTTCCATGCTGCATCTATAAAAATTGGTTAGAGTCCTTATGGACATGCCAAATTTCCTTAGCCTCCTGAGGAAGTAGAGACATTGTTGTGATTTCTTAACCGTTGCGTTGACGTGGGTGGACCAGGACAGATTGTTGGTGATCATTACTCCTAGGAACTTGACGCTCTTGACCATCTCCACCTCAGCCCCATTGATGCAGACAGGGGCGTGGCCTCCACTCCGCTTCCTGAAGTCAATGGCCAGCTCCTTCATTGCTGACATTGATGGAGAGATTGTTGTCTTTACACCATGCCACTAATCACTCCATCTCTTTACTGTATTCTGTCTCATCGTTGTTTCAGATCGAACCTACAACGATGGTATCATCGACAAACTTGTAAATGGATTTGGGGTGGAATTTGACCACACAATCACGAGTGTATATGGAGTATAGTGGGGGCTGAGTCTGCAGCCTTGCAGGGTACCAGTGTTGAGGATTATGGCAGAGGAGATGTGGTCGCCTACCCCTACTGGTTGCGGTCTATGGGTCAGGAAGTTGAAGATCCAGTTACAGAGAAGGGGGCCGAGAACTAGATCTCAGAGTTTAGAGATGAGTTTGTTTGGAATTATGGTGTTGAACATGAATGTAGTCAATATGTAGGAGCCTGATGTAGTTATCCTTGTTATTCCAGATGTTCCAGGGTGTAGGGCCAGGGAGATTGCCTCTGCTATGGACCTGTTGTGCCAGTAGACAAACTGCAAAGGATCAAAGCAATTTGGTAGGCTGGAGGTGATATGGGAGAAAAACCTTTCGAAGCACTTCATAATTATGGAGGTCAGAGCCACAGAGTCATTGAGGCACGTCGCGTGATTTTTCTTTGGCACGAGGTTGATGGTAGTCTTCTTAAAGCAGGTGGGGACTTTAGATCGTAATAAGGTGAAAGATATTTGCAAACATTCCCGCCATCTGGTCTGCACTTGAGTATCCTAAAACTACGAACTCTCGTTGTAGATTGATGAACATGAGGAATCATTGTTTTTATGTCTACTTTGTCAATGTCCTTTAGCAGTGAAGTCTTCTAAATTGAAGTGAATATAGGCCTAAACTATCAATTCCTCTTCATTAGACAAACCCTTCATCTCTGGAATCAATCTAGCATATTTCCTCTGAAGTGCCTTTAATGCAACTACATTCCTTTTAAAATAAGGGGAGCAAAATTGTTTGCTATACTCCAGATTTGGTCTCAAAAATGCCTTGAGCAGTTGCGGTAAGACTTCCCTACTTTTATACTCAATTCTTTCAGCAAAATTTCCATTTGCCTTTCTTATTACCTGTTACCTGTTGTACTTGCATACTAGTTTTCTGCAATTCATGCACAAGGACATTCTGGTCCCTTTGCACTGAAGCAACCTGAAGTTTCTCTTCATTTAGATGATAAATTACCTTTCCATTCCTCTGACCAAACAGATAACCTCATACATATTACATTAAACTTCATGTCTATTTC